GGAATAATATAAGCTGTAAAACATAACACTTATCACGCCTCTTGTAATTCAATCATTGTACAATATATCTTTTTCTCATTTACCAGCCTACTAGTATCCGTGGGGGTCCATAAGGGTTCCGCTACCCGTTAACCTTTAACATTCATAATCAGTTTCCAGGGCCGTCCCCATACCCCGTTCGGTATGGGCGCCAAAACCATGAACCTCAATACCCCGTCCGGTATGAGGGTGAAACGGGCTGTCCCCATACCCCGTCCGGTATGGGTGCCAAAACCATAAACCTCAATACCCCGTCCGGTATGAGGGTGAAACGGCCGTCCCCATACCCCGTCCGGTATGGGCGCCAAAACCATAAGATCTCCATACCCCGTCCGGCATGTGAGACCACAATCCCGGTAGGGTTCCCTACGGACCTGGTCCGTCCACCATCTCCCAGGATATCTAGTCAGGCTGACCCCCATAATACAATTATCAGTCTACACAATCTTTCATTTTCCTTTTCCTCAGTCAGCATCATCAATTCACATACAAACAAGCAAAACAGTAATTCATGCCAAACAGACAACATACAGTATCAGTTTTTCAGTCATTCAACCCATGATTAATAAAAACGTAGTATATGCACACAAATCTGTAAAATGAACACATCAAACCTCATTTTGCATTTAAAGCTGTAAACAGGCCAAATAACAGTAAATCACCAATCACACTAGACTCGGGCTCCATTAGCCACCTTAAGCAATTTCACACATTCGTTAATTCAAGAAATACTGTTTTATCATTTTGAACTTTAATACCGTGATAGGAAATAGGGTGAGGGGTCCTTACTTATTTTCAGGATCCGAATACGATTCACAGTGCACCTGCAGGCCGTCTCTAATTTTCCCTGAATTTTTTCCGGGGAACTGAAACACACTAACAGTACCTGCACGTGTCCCAAAAAAAAAACCCAAATTAGGCCCAGGGCCTCTTTCGGCCCAAATCGCAACTCCGGCACGGCGGCTCCGCCGTGCTCCGGCGACGGCGTCGCCGCTGGCGGCGGCGAGTCGCCTCGGGTCGGCTGTTTTCGGCCGAATTCGGCCACACTCGCATCGGTCCTTGTGAGAAAACAACCCTAGGGCCCTCGGGGGGCCAAAAAATCACGAAAAAACGGAGCTTACCGGCAGCGGCGCTCTCGGGTGCGGCGGCTCTCCGGCGAGGTTCGTGTTTTGGTGATTCGGCTCCGGTCAACCTGTAGAGAAAAGAATGGTGATCACGGTGATATAAAAATTGCATCGAACGGAGGC